TCTTTTGATCAACGGATGATTTTATGGTATTTATCCAAAAGCTTAAATAAAAAGTTTTATTTTTTCGAAAAGAAGCCTGGCACCAAAGGGTTAACAAACTTTAATCCATTTAAATCGATTTCTAAGAATCATTTATAATTGATTTATTGTTTATAATCGATTAAAATAAAGTAAAACGATTAACATCACATGATAGCTGTCCATAAGGATGAACAATCTAATTAGAATCATATTAAAATAGTGGTATTCGAATCGGTTCGTAGTTCAATAATAACCGATTTTAATCGGAATTTTAGCCTTTTTTTCATGGGTGGACCTTTTTAGCAACTAAGTGTTGTAAAATACTAAGATTTTTACTAGACAAAATAGTTTAAAAGGAATAAAGTCATTTTATTTATAAAACAATGGTATTTTACACAAAATCCAGGTTTTCATAAGCTAAGTCTAAAACAATTCACAGAATTACCAAAAAAGAAAATTTTGGGAAACTCATTACCATCTGTTATGCTTTTGAAATTTTATTGTTGGCGGCCCTCTAAAATAGGATGATCTTTTGTTTGGCGTGGGGTGTGGACCAAAGTTGGCTATCTTCCACTTGTAGTGGAATAAAGTCTGATCTTCAAGATGAAAGGCAACTTTTCATTGAGTTCCCTTAGTTAAATTTATTTTTTCATGCGCATAAACTTGAGCTTTTTAAGCAAGAAAGCATTTTGATATGGAGGCTTCTTGAGATATGCACTAAAAAAACAAGTTTGACTGGAATGTCAATCAGCATTAATATATTAATAAAAGTTAATCGGTTAAAAAATATTTTCTTTTAATTAATTTCACTGGAGGAAAACGGATTGAACATAAAATAATTTGATTAAAATAGAGTTAAAATAGGTACTAAATTAATCGATTTTCAATCAGAACAATTCGAATAGAAACAGACCGTTTAAAATAAATTTTTATGAGCACAGGGCAATTAGTTTTGCCCTCCGTTGCCCTGTGACGGTCTCTGTTGTGGATGTTGATGAGAGTGGGTGTCGGTATTTTTTCATCCACATTCACATCCTATCTATATTGAACAGGTTTTGTTTTAACTTATTATGTCGAAATCTAATCAAATAAAATTTTTCTACTCAGTTTGTGATGCTGCATTAGAGTAGTATGTATTCATAAAGTTTGAAAAAATCATGTAACTGGAATTTGACAATTTCGGTAAAAGAACGAGGTTCGAAATTGTAAATGCTACATTTTCGGTCATTATAGATTTTTATGTTTTTTTCAGTTAAACAATTGCCATCTTTGCCCTCCTATTTCTATTCTGTGCTTTCTCGTAATTTGAGTTAACCAACATTTTGTGCGACTCGATTGATTGCGTCATCTATTTCTCTTTCTTTATAATTCGTTGATTTTCCAATTCATTCTCTTATTTTCCATTGAAAATATTTTATTTTTGACGCTTCAGTCATATAACTAAACTCAACACAACAACTACTCGTTTCTGCATCAACGTACTCTTATGGTATTGAAACGCCACTAAAATGAGTGAGTTTTTGATAACTTTTTTCAGTAATGCTTCGTAAATAGAAACTATATCATTTATATTTTATGATATGTTGTTTGTGAATGTTCTTCGATTATATCTCGATATTTTTTTCCAATTGATTTTCCTTTCTACTTATTTAGTTACATAAAATGTTGAATATAAAAAATTGACATTCGAATATCTCAATGTAGAAAAAGTAATGCTTCTGAACAGAAATGTTCCTTATGGAAAAATGCTCGATGATCTTAAAATTCTATTTGGTCTTCCTTCTACTTCGTCGTTATTATTGTTGAACATTATGGAAAATTATTATGTTTTTGGTTTAAAAGCAGGCGATCTTTGGAGTTTAAATGATACCGAAACACAAAAATATCGGATTATAATTGCTGATGAAACAGCCAAAAGTAAATATGAACTAATGAGAAGAAAGAGCGACATCCGTAATCATTCTAAACAAAGACATAGTTATAATAAATTTTTGCACTTTGAGCTTCTGAAAAACTTTCACATATTGATTTTATACTTGCTGGCACAAATTAACCCTTTCGTTCCTATGACTGAATTTTAAAGTCTGGAACTGAAATTCGTCTAGCATTGTGATAACAATGGTCCCTAATATGCACACAAAGTTTGAATCACATCGATTTAATGCTAGTATATTTAAGTCATAATCGTTCGTTAGCAATCTCTTATGGCACGACTATAGCACACGCCATGACGCAATATATTTGTCTGAGTAGCAAATAAAGATTTTATAAAGAATTTTATGTTCAAATTATTGATATAAAATTTATAATAGATGTGTCTTAAGTTGGTATAAAATTAGTTTCTATATGCCTTACTACAAGAAAACGGAACTTTAAAAAAAATGACATCTATAGGTGCCATTTGGAAAGAAAGGGTTAGGGACAGCAGCTTTACGGTAGGGTAGGATAAGCATGGTACAAGTTGTTCTTCATATTGCTAAAAACTTTTGACAAATAAATTCGAAGTAATTCCTTACATATTTATTATTTGGAAGAAGTCGGTGTTTATGCTAATTAGAAATAAAGTTTTAATAAAGAAGAGTCACTAATGGACTATTTAGACAAAAGTTTTTTGAACTATTCACAGCTGAATGTTTTGAAAAAAAGACGGCTGGGCTTTTCTGTTAGTTCAACGACAATAGAGCTCACTTGAAGCGTAAGTTGGAGAGTTTTGGAAGAGAGAAAAGAAAATCTAAGTCCTTCCATGCTCAGAAAAATCCTATTTTCGAAAAAATAATCGAAGCTAAGTTGTCATCAGGGGTGGATGCATAAAAGTCTTCTCTCTGAAAGTATATATAACTTTTCGAAAAAAGCTAAATTTTACCAAAGTTTTGAAAACGATTTCCATTCGATTAATATCTTTTCTGAGTAATTCTTGCTTTTTTTAAAAATTGGTTTAGTTGAAAGAAAACTGCGTTTTCATTGTATCAGTATTGAGTATATATCCTTAAATAATTTAAGGACGTCTCATGATGCTAGCTTGCATTAAATATTCCTTGCTTTTAAAAACTTCACTTACGAGGGAACTACCCCAAGTGATTCACCGCTTTTGAGCTCATACTTTGGGGATAAGTAGGAGACCCCGACACTAGAATAACCCTAAGAGGATTTGGGCCCATGCACCTGTGGGGCTGNACGATAAAGGACGAGGGTGTCGAACACGTTGTGATACACCATCGATGACCTGCATCATCCATGATACACCATTTATTTATCCTTCTTTTCCGAGCGATACTTTCACGAATCATAAGGGTGTGGGTGTGGGTGTGGGTGTGGGTGTGGGTGTGGGTGTGGGTGTGGGTGTGGGTGTGGGTGTGGGTGTGGGCGTGGGGTGTGGGTGTGGGCGTGGGCGTGGAAATGGGCATGATTATCCCTTTAGCGACACCCACACCCACACCCACATCCACACCCTTATGATTCGTGAAAGTATCGCTCGGAAAAGAAGGATAAATAAATGGTGTATCATGGATGATGCAGGTCATCGATGGTGTATCACAACGTGTTCGACACCCTCGTCCTTTATCGTCAGCCTCTACAATCTCCAGATAGGTCTGCCAATGAGGCGTTTGAACTAAAACAAAGACATTGATCAACAGAAAAGTATTATTTTTTCCATTACGAGTTTGCATCCACGGCTGATAGCGGGTATCCTTTGATAGTAAAGCTTCTGGCATTTGACTGTAAAGCTTTGAACACTGAATACTGATCCTGTCTTATTAAATACTGCGATGGATGGTGCAGAATCACTGACAATCAGAAAACTCTGCTAACTTAAACCACATAGAACAGCTAATGTTTTTGCCAACTTGTCCTGCACGATCCGCTTGTGTGCTGTTGCTGGCAGAAATGAAGCAGTATTTCTTTTGAAGAGCATTATTTGATAGTAGCTGACGAAAGAAAAAAGCATTACTTTTGCCATGAGTCTCAATTGTTAATTGAATTTGAGAATGTTTATTTATTTGTTCTTTCATCTCATGCGATCGAGTGATTCACATGCAGGATTCCGCAAGAGGTATCTCAACTATAAGAATGCAATAGTTATTGTAGGAGAGAATTGTGGCTACCTAACTAAAGATGTCACAATATTGAACGGGAGAAGAACCAAGCGAGCCACGAGGACTAGAATGTGTATGGGAATTTGGGCGTCGCTTTGTGCGTGTGGGCAAGACTGTGATGGTGAGTGTTGCTGCGTTAGAATGTGAGTGTGGGATCTTCCCTCCACCGACATGAACACCAACCCGCACCCACCATTCTACTACTCATTGTATTCTATGTTTCTATATAGCATAATCATTGTTAAATCAATAGTATTATATAAACAGTTCAAATGCATGCTTTGTAATCATATTTTCATATGGATCCGAAAAAATCGTCGTTACTGTATTAAAGTTCATATTACACTTAATATAAACATGAGGAAATTGATTTATGATCAGTGGTTTTCAGTTGGCTTCAAATAGAAGTTTAAGTTGATGCATTGACTGGTGGCTGGAAATTTACGATGGTTTTGTTTAAACTTTTTTTCAGTCACGAGAGATTAGGAAATAGAACTAGTATTAGTAAAATACGTGTCAACTCATTACCTATCGTTCGACTCGAAGACATTCTCAATCGAAAAATCTTTAACTTCTTCATTCGTGTAACCTCACAGCAAACCATTTCCATTCAACGCTCTTTGATATAAAAATTAAATATTATTTTGGTGTGAAGGCAGGTATGGATTTGAGCTTATGAAACCGAATTTATGTATGTCAAAGGCATGTGCTCACATCCACAGGGTGGGTGTGGATGCTGATGCGGACGAAACCGGAGAACTGGAATATACAAAGCAACATCCACACCCACCCATTGTGAACAAAGTATTATATTGTACGTAATTGATTCTTCAAAAACAAAGTAAAGTAGAAAAGAATGATATTAGCAATGATAGCTTTCAACAACTAAGAACAAGAACTCGGATCGATGTTGAACTTGAGTATTCGATGATTACCGTAACTGGAAACATAAAGGTTGCCCTGTCGATCGAACGACAAGCCAACAGGTTTATCAAGATGGGTTGCTTTCGCACCTTTACCGACAATAACAGTTCCTCGTGCAGCTCCTCTGATCCAACGCATAACCCGATTATTCCCATAGTCTGCTACATAGACAGTGCCTAGCTGATCGACGACTACTCCTTGAGGACGCGACAGCTGTGTAAGACTATTGCCTTCGCCTTGACCACCGGCCACAACAATGCCTTGTTTGGCGCCTTCTATCCATTTCATAACACGATGGTTACTTCTATCGGACACATATATTGAATAATCTCGATCAATGAACAGGTACTTAGGAGTATTGAGTTGATCGAGACGGTTGCCTTGTCCATTGCCACCAGCCACCACTGTTCCTAGACTGTCTCCCGGTATAAATCGTTTCACACTATGATTTTCAGCATCCGTTATATAGAAAAATCCCCGATCGTCTGTTGCCAAGCCCCAGCAATTAATGTTTGACATGATTACTTCACCATTTGTGCCGACTTGGCGAAGCCATCGCATCACTCGATTGTTCCAAGAGTCGCATATTATGAAGCTATTACTCGGTTTATCGACAATGACAACGGTTGGACCTTTTAACTGATTCATCTGGCTTCCGTCTCCATTTCCACCTGCTACTATCTGCCCAATTGTCGCATCACACTTCCATTCCATAATACGACTATTCTCCCAATCAGCTACATAGATCGTTAGATCATCATCCACATATAAACCGAGTGGTTTACTGAGTTGACTCAATCCGCTACCTTGTCCATCGCCTCCAGCCACAATGATACCTTTTGACATCCATTTGCCATCAGAAGGAATGATTGTTTCGGAATATAGTGTTGCTGAAACAAAACAGAATAAAAATGTTATCCCGGGAGCTCAATAAAAATAAAATTCATTTCCATGAAATGATCATTCTTGGAATACTTAGAAAAAAATGGCTGAATTTTCTCGCGTGAATAACAGACGTCATTATTAGCACCTTTCAGATATTAACTTAGTTGTATACAGCGTGCCATATTTCGAAGCAAATGAGAGAGATTCTCGCTGATGGTAGTCTCACTTGCTGAAAATGGCTAGAAATACACGTTTTCGGTACAGTGTATAAAGGTACCATCGGTATTACATGAACGTCGTCATAAAAATGACATGGGCATAACGGAAGAGGTGATGTCGGTAACATTCTTAGTATACACATGGTTTTGAAAGAAGAATCAACGTTCTAGTATATGATTTGATAGAGTTTCAGACAGGACAACCAGCGTGGGAATGCTTTTTCTTAGTTAAGGCACAGTAGACATTGTGATAGCATATGTGTCTTTATTTTACCTACCTACGAAAATCGTCAACGTAAGTTAAAGGAACACTCCACCTTACTCAGACAGACAAAGTCAATAAAAAACGCGTTAAAATGCTCGAAAATTGAACGCGTTCCAAACAATAAAGCGCGAAGATTGGGATGCGTTATGAACGCTTTAAAGCTTTCAAAAGAGTTTTAATTGTTTAAAATTCTAACTCCTAATGACCAGTGACAACATGCAACTCTATGGTGTTCTTTGCGTTAGATATTATGATGCTTTTTAACGACGTTAAATAGTTTTATGCGTTCATGACGCGTTACAAAGTGTGCTTTTATACGCCCAAGTTTTTAAATTGAATGGCATATTTCGAAAAGTAACAATACTATACTTTTCAGATTTGAATTACGAGAAAATTTTACTGATACAGTTTAAAATAGATTAACAGATAATAAAGTTTCACCCATATAACAAGAATGCAGGATGGAAATAAAATTAAAATAACTAAGAAATTGTCATGGTGATCTCTCTACAATGAAAAAATGATACCATACGAAACTTAAAAAATAAGGCTCCGACTTTGGCAACGAAATCAAAACCTCTTTTAAGTTTCATAAAAATGAAGTTTCGTACAAAGCCATTTTCAGTTAGTTTCAAAAAGGCTTACGTAGTCAAAATATTCGTACGGATTCCAATGCAATCCCAATAAACCGATACCAACCCGTTCGTTTATATCTATGTTACTATATTTATAACTAGTTATTTACCTGCGTATACGAATGCTCCCGAGGGTTATCTCCTTAAACATATCTGCATAAACCTACACCTACTTCCTTAATCTATCTCTTAATCTATTCCATTCATCTATTTGATTGGTCTCACCCTTTAATTTATTCCCTTAATCTAACATCTTCTATCATAATAATCTAACTTTTTTATATATTCATTTAACTTGAACCATTAAGATATCTCCTTACTGAGGGTGTGCGTGTGAGTATGAGATGACTGCGGGTCTCCATTTCATCTGCACCCACACTCACACCTTTTTATTAGTGTAGGAACCTTGAGGTATAGACTCGTCGCTTTCTCTTGCAATACGTTAAAAGTTTGGACATCTAGCAATGTGTGAACACCTATAGAAAGTAACTCATAAAAAAATCGGATCTAATTTATTTCTACACTTTGTTAAGACTAATCTATATGTGTATAGAACTGATTAACGATTGCCCGTTATCATTACTTGTGGTTTTTTTGTTATCTTTGATAGGATGAACAGAGGAAATTCACAGGTCAATGATATTTATTCTTTTTTATTGATAATAGAAATAAAGAATGAGTAAGCTGTATTGTTGATTGATTTCAAATATTATTACACTAACTTAATTTGAGGTAAAGAATCTCTACAAATTTTAAAGGACATAAGAATATCTACCTGTCTATTAACTACGACAAACTTACTCACTATAATAGATAGAAAAAGGAGCGATTCATTAAGTTGTATAAGAAAAATATTTCTGATTCAGCAATTTCTGATTCCAACGAAAGATAATACAATACGAAGGGTAGAGAAAACGAGATATGAAAATGAAGTGGAAACAACAGACAGCGATATGAAAAAATTTAAAAAAATACAGAATCGCGGAACAAACGATTAGCAGGTAGAAAAAATAGATAAATCTCAGTTGGTAAAAATTCGAGAAAAACGACTTGTTAAGATGTTTACAATTCATGGACTCATCAAAATTGAATTTTTCAGTTCTGGAATGTCTGCTTATGATAATGATGATGATGTCAGCACTTTAAAAATGTTCCAGACCAGGTTATTCGTTATGATTAGTAGTTCTAGAGAGATTGTACATGATGAAAACTTAAAGAATACCATCGATGGAGATTGGATTAATAAAACTCGTAAAAACCACGTTTGTCAATCTTTTTTTTGTAGGTTAAGGTATTCAGAATGTTAAACGCGCAAAAGTGGTAAAAGCCGCGGATAAAATTCATAAAAACACGAAGGCGGGTTTTACGGCAATTTATCATTAAAGCGATGTTATAGCGAAATTATAACGCATCTATACGCGTTTTTTGGAGATCTTATCTGCCTGGATAGTAAACACGATTTTTCGTGAAAATTTCGATCTTGCGTTTCTGATATCATGTTTTAGCCTGAAGATTCTACCTCCAAAATGCAATGGCTCTCACAACTTGTATTTTGTAATTTAACTTTCTCACTGAAGCTTTTTTCGTCAGTAACATGCAAACAGTCTGAAGATTTCATCCAGTTTTGTTAGAAGCGATCTCATTCGATAGAGCAATAAAAAACGAAGGGATTGTAATTTCACTTGTCGAAATTCGGATCCTAAGCTGAGATATGAATTTTTCAATAGCTCTTTTTCTCATTCATTTTGGTACTCGCATATTATTTTTTGTGTCTCTTGGCTCAGGAGTCGAATTTCAACAAATTGATATTAGAATCTCTTCATTTTACGTTTCTCTATCGAATGAAACCACTCCGACTAGAACTGGACAAAAGTTGTGGATCTACTTACAGTTTTGTGACATCAACTTTTCTCACAATAAAATATTTTTATATTTTTTTCTGAAAACTTGATTTGCTTAAAATTTTGATAGTTTCTAAGTTCGATTCGTCCCTATCTAAAAACAATTTCAACTCGATCGGTGCGTTGGAAGCCGAAATCGATTTTTAAGGCGGAGGGGTCCTTAAGAAGATCTGTTTGATTTCTATACTGGGAAAAAATTCGACAGCCTACCACGTTTTAAACCAAGTTTTATAGTACAGTTGTTTACGCACTATGCTAGTCATATTTTTCTTTTCTTTTATACACAGAAAATGCATATTTTTATGTTATTTAGATCCAGACATTCTTAGTCGCTCAAGAATGTCTGCAATTTAAATCGAGTTTAGTGATGTGTATGTAGTTCGTACTCTCGAATCTGTTGATTTTCATTTTTAATAAAACTCGCATCAAGAAGCTACTATAAAGAACTGACCTAGCATCGACGGTTTTGAGGTCCCTTTCAGTAGGGGTTTTGATGTAGTTGTAGTTTGTGACATTGTCTGTTGAGGTACAGAATGTAGTAGTTGTTTATTCGTCAACTTTTTAGTTATGTCGAATGGTGGAGTCAGTAGTTCATATGGCGGTACAATTTCTTGAAGATGAATGATATGGAGTCCTTCAGCAGGACTCATTTTACTTATCACTTTCAAATAGATTCCAGGCGGCAGAAGAATTTCATCCTCGTGCTGAAAGTATGAATGCGAACGAATGTATTTTCCATTCGATGTTTCAATCGAAAAGAGCGTTCTTGCTCCCGATTTTCCCAAGTACAGCGGTGATTCCAGAACATTCATCGACAATGTACAAGAGCTGAATGCCCACCACGCTTGTTCTTTGCCTTGTGGATATAGATTGCTGAGATCGTTGGGTACTCCTCGCCATACTATTCGATGTTCAGTTGATCTAAATCGATAAAACATTACTTGAAGTATGGCTTATGAGGAGATACTCACGGCAATTTAAAAAAGGCAGTAAGAAATAACTTCATATATTTATGCCATGGAATTAATTTCTTGCGATCAGCCTCACGCAATGTTCGATTGAGTACTGCATAGAGACTTTTCTCAGTTACTTCCCATTCCATTGTGTAAAGATGTATTGCCGCCGATTCGTCTTGTGTTAGGCCATCTTTGGGTACTCTTGAGTTCAGCTTTGCAATCTGAATATTTTGGTCAAGTTCCTCATCGATAATATCCTTCAATGGTTTACATGCTTCATCGAGAGAGACTAGCGGTTCCTTGGCGTATTGAGAAATGGGTTTGAGCATTTGTCCCGATTCATCTTGGATGTTGGTCAATAGACGAGGATTTATTCGGGTGGATGTTGCCATGTTTGTCTGTCTCACAATTTGTCGTCTTTTTAATCGCTCCTATTAGACTATACTATCATATACAAGAAATATTGTGTTTTACTTTTCAGTGTTCTCAAAAAAAAACATGATAGAAAGATAAGATGTGCTTTTATGGCAGAATGCTTTGTTTCATGTCAAATTTGTGCGAATAGCGATAGAACCATATGAAAAATTGCTGTACAACGCAATTTAGAGTTTGTCAATTTTGTAAAGGCTACTACATTCATACAGACATTTTTACTCGCCACCGCTATACTATCTCGAGTAAAAGCTCAATGAGATGTTTTTTGTAATATCTCAAACGATAGCACGAACATTTGTCTATTAAACCACGTACATGGCCAGTTGCTCTATGCTTTTACAGAACTCTAAATGGGAACACAGCGGATAGTAGTATGCTACAGTTATGTTATTCTTTAGAAAAGGCTATCAATTATTTAGCTCTTATAGAGTACGAGACTGTTTGTATTATATTTGGGATGAAATTTTTGTCAGCATTCACTTCTACGCTCGATCCGATGCACGCTTCTTTCAGTATTTCTGCATTTTCACTGCATTTCGCACACACAGACT